CAGGTCATGATCTCACAGTTGTGGGATTGAGCTCCACATTCAGCTCCACAATGAGTGTGGAGCCTGCCTGGGATTCTCTCTCCCTCTGAAAGCACACATGATCTCTCTCAAAAAAAAATTTCCAGGGTGCCTGGGTGGCTCAGTTGGTTGAGCGACTGACTTCGGCTCAGGTCATGATCTCACGGTTTGTGAGTTCGAGCCCCGCGTTGGGCTCTGTGCTGACAGCTCAGAGCCTGGAGCCTGCTTCGGATTCTGTGTCTCCGTCTCTCTATGTCCCTCCCCTGCTCATGCTCTCTGTCTCAGAAATAAATAAACATAAAAAAAAATTTAAAAAAAAATTTCCTACATTAAACATAGAGATGTTTCATAGTTTTTCATAACTATTGTATAGCAGAGTCAAACCTGTGCCCAATGAACTCCTTTCCCTTCATTTTTAATAACAGAACCACCATTTTTATATGTGCAAAATGACAGTCAGCTATAAGACGACCTTTCTCCTCTTCTCCAGAGTTAGGTGTGACCATGTGCCAATGAAATAGAAGTGTAAGTGTTATGTGACAATCAAGAAGTCTCCTTCAAAAAGTATTCCATTATTCCCTTTCTCAGTCCTATACTTGGGAACTGGGGTAAGAGAACTGATTCTAATAACCACTCAGGACAAAGACGAGGGCCATACCTTAGTGATGTTAGGGCAGAAAACTGGAAAAAGCCTAGGTCCCTTTGAAGCCTCCATACCAATCCTAGACTGTTTACTTTGGGACTTCTTTTATGCAGCTAATATAATACTGATACACATTCCTTTTGCTGTTTGTTAGTTTACTTGAGCAGGTATTTACTGAAAACAAAATAGGTTATAAGGCACATGGACATAAAAAGTGGAACACATAATTCCTACCTTTAAGAAACCATTTGGTTACTTAAAGGTAGTGTCATATAACAATTTATAATGTCTTTCTGAAAATGCATAGAAAAGTCTAGCGTCCAAAGAACATGTTAAAGAGGATAGCTCTTTTTCTAGAAAGCTAAACGCATGTCACACTCCCATCTTTTTATTAAAAAATTTTTTGCGGTGGCGCCTCAAAGGCTCAGTCGGTTAAGCATCCTACTTCGGCTTGGGGCATGATCTCACTTGGGACAGGATTTCGCAGTTTGTGAGCTTGATCCTCACGGTGGGCTCTCTGCTGACAGCTCAGAGCCTGCAGCCTGCTTCAAATTCTGTTTTCCTCTCTCTCTGTCTCTCCCCCATTCACGATTGGTCTGTCTCTCTGCCTCAAAAATAGACATTAAAAAAATTTTTTTTTAAATTAATAAATTTTATTATGCTCTAGTGACTGAGCCAGCCAGGTGCCTCAAACTCCTTTTTAGACAAAATCTTCAATGATTATTTTTCTAACTTTTCATACATGTTTTTATTTTTTAATTTTTAATTATTTAAAAATTTTTTTTTAATGTTTATTTATTATTGAGAGATAGAGACAGGCAGAGCATGAGCATGGGAGGGGCAGAGAGAGGAGGAGACACAGAATTTGAATGAGGCTCCAGGCTCTGAGCTGTTAGCACAGAGCCCAATGTGGGGCTCGAACTCACAAACTGCAAGATCATTACCTGAGCCAAAGTTGAACGCCCAACCGACCGAGCCATCCAGGTGCCCCTAACATTTCAGACATGTTTTTAAATTTCAGTTTTTTTCAGGGTGCCTGTGTGGCTCAGTCAGTTAAGCATCTGACTTTGGCTCAGGTCATGATCTCACAGTGAGTACATTCAAGCACATCAGGCTCTCTGCTGACAGCTCAGAGGCTGAAGCCTGCTTTGGATTCTGGGTCTCCATCTCTCTATGCCCCTCCCCCACTCTCTCAAAAATAAAGAAACATTAAAAAATTATAAATTTCAGTTTTTTTCTTCAAACTGAATACAGTATTGACTGGCTTAAATACAATAAGCATCTACTTAATTATAAACATTTTCACACCTAATTATTGCTGTATCTGTCTCAATTGTATTAAGTTTGTAAGATTTTTGTCTCTTAATACTAATATCAGCACTTTGATATTTTTTATGTTTCCATAAAAAAGGATATGCAAACATATTCTATTACAACTATAAGAGCATTAACTTTGTAATATTCATTCATTCAATAAATACTTATTGAACACTTGCTACGTGCAAAGCAGTGGAGCAAAGCAGTCATGGTCTTTGCTCTTATAAGCTTACAGTCTTAGCAGTGGTGACAAATATTAATCGATCACAGACTTAATACACAATTATAAAATGCAGCAAGTGCAATGAAGAAGTTGCTATGGAAACATTTAACAGAAAGACCTAACTGTAAAAAAGATAACACTTTATGGGTGTCAATGTACAATGTTCAAAAAAGTAGCTTCTTCAAAATTTGGATACATAAAATTTGAAAGCTACCTGTAAACTCAGGTGTTCAAAATTACCTCGGAGTTATGATCAATGTTCTTTAGAAACCCAGCCCACTGGAGAAACGACAGGCTTCCCAGAGGAGGCGATAGTTGGAGGTGAGTGCTCAAGTTGGACAACAGTTAGCCACCGGAAAAGGAGTGTGGGAAATTATTTCAGGTATACACCATACCCTGGCAGGCATCCAAAGAAGAAAAAGAGCATACCCCATTCTCAAGTGTTTTAATATGGCTAGAGTACAGCCTAAGGAAGACAGGGTTAGGAAACAGAAGCAATGGAAATGTGCTGGTGAGGTAAGGAGAGATCACATCGTGAAGGAACTTGTATGCCATGATACGGAGTTTGGACTTTGTTTTTAAAATGAGAAATCACTGAAGAGTTTGAAGCAGAGAGAGTGATAAAGTAAGATTTGACCTTTCAGAAAAATCGTATTTTAATGGTTTTACACCAAGGAAGACATTTTATAGAACAACTTTTGAAAATAAGAAAAACTTAACTTCCTTCCCTACCCTTTTTATTTAATAAAACTTGGTCACTATTCCACGAAAGTTGGAAAATACGTCAAGCCTTGGCATCTCCTGCGTGTGGTTTGAAAACCACAGACAGCGGGTTTTAGACGAAAAATTTGTTATCCAGTAAACTTCTGTAACTTTTCTAGGTCAGAAACTCATTATTGGAAGAGACAGGATTAAAATGATCTTTACCTACTCTTTACGATTCTAAATAGGCACCGCCATCTCGCCCTCGGTCCCCGCGTGCCCCAAGAGACTAAGTGCACTCCTGAAATAAAAGCTTTCAAGAGAACTGGACTCTGACGTTTAATAAACCGGAGACAGAAATTCCAACCTAATGCGCCCGCTATAGGGGTTAAATGAGAGGCGCTTAGCACATAATAGGTAGTAGTATAAGTTAGCTTTAGCATCTATTAGAACACGTTCCTATAACACATCTGTGACTAACATTGTTAGATAGTAGCAAAAAGACGCTGTATTCAGCCCAAATCATTATTTCGGGGAGAACGTGCTAGTAGAGAATGACCAGAAAACAGAAGCTGACCCTCTGTTCTGAGGGCAGAAAACCCCGCAAGCACACACCATCTGATTTTTGAGTCTGGTTTGAAATTTCCCAGTCTGGGGACGCAGATTCCAACTCGCCCTGTGTCTATCGCTGTAGCTACCTTTCCTCTTCTTGGCCAATGTCGCCTCTACAGGTAAGGGCCCAACCCAGCGCTCATTTTCCTCTTCGTTCTCTTGGGCCACAGCCACAACCACTGTCAGCTCTCTTTCGCCGAGTTCTGTTTTTTCCGGCTCCCCCGTGTCCCGGCGCCTTCTTCTCAGCTGTGAATCGCTACCACCTTCCGACGCCATATTGCCAGAGTTGTCAAACAAGGCGCGACACGACACAGCTCCCCTACCAATCCTCAAAGCGGCGCGGCCTGCACGTCAGTGGCAGAGCGAGTTTCGGGATTGGCTGGGTGCGTAGGAGCAGATCCAATCAGCAAGCAGCGCGCGCTCGGGGCCCTAGGCCGGGAAGTCCTGTCTGAGCCAGGCTGAGGTGGCCTGCAGTCCGTGGCTGTGTGGTGGTTAAGAGGTGGGTAAGGGAGAGCGCCTTAACGGTAGACACTTGGAAGGCTCCCAGGGTATGGAACTGTAGCGCCGATGGTGGGACCCTGCAGCTCACGGGAACTGGATACCGGACGTCCCGCCAGTCCCTGTGACCCGCTCTTCTCCCGCCTCTAGAACCCAGCGGGTTAGAGGGAAATGGCAGAGGGGCAGGGAACTGAGGGAACTATCTAACTTGAGGGCCTCCCTTCAGGTGCTGACGGAACTGTTTTCTTCCCTGAGTTTCTTGATTCTCCCAAACGAGAAAGAGGTGGTGGGCGCTTCTTACTGTTTTCTTAGGGAGGGAGAGGGAGAGAGAGAGAGAGAGAGAGAAAGAATGAAGGAAAGAGAGAAAGAGAACGAACCAACTAGGCAGGCCAAGAAACCCAAGGGTACATGGCAGGATCATTCCCCCTGCTGCCATCGTCCTGGTCTGCGCTTTCATGTCTTAGCCGCCTTCTCGACAGCTCTCTTCTTTAAAAAGAAAAAAAAAAAAAAAAGGGAAAGAAAGAAAGAAAAACTTATTATGGTAAAAACCACATAACGTTTACTGTCTTCCCCCCTCTTTTAAAACTGAGGTATAATTCATATACAACACTATATAGTTGACCTTTGAACAAGGGGTGAGCAGAGTGGTTAGGGGCACATCCCCCCTCTTCATTGGAAAATCAGCCTATAACTTAGGATCCTCCCCAAAGCTTTACTAATAGACTACTTTTGATATAAAGCCTTACCCATAACATAAACAGTGTAAACATTTTTGTACAAGGCTGAAGGTATTTAACTAGTCTTTTACTAGCTGACTTCAAATTGTTAATAGTAATGTTAATAGCTAATAATGATATAACTTCATATGCTAAGCACAGTTCTAAGAACTTTATATATACTAACTCATTTAATTGTCATAACAACTTTATGGGGTAATGTTATTGTCTTCATTTTACAGGTAAGGAAACCGAGGCAGAGACAGTTTAAGTGCCTTGCCCAAGGTCACACAGCTTGTAAGTATTGAAGCCGGGATTTAAACCTAGACAGTTTGATTGTAGAGTTCACACAAAGTTTTTTTGAGTAATGCTGTAGTATGCATTCCTGTGTAGACTAAAGCAAATATATCTATCTATAGTATTATTCCTAGAAATAGAATTTCTGGGTCAGAAGTTAAATGTATTTAAAATTTTAATGGCTGTTGTTTATTATCTTACAAAGTGATTAGTTTATGAACAGTGCATGCCTCTTGTGAATAGTGTATGCCCCTTGTTCTATATTCTTCTCATTATTGTTTATTATTAAATTTTTCATTATTGCTAGTCTGGATGAAAATAACTCTTGTTTAATTTTCATTTTTATGACTTATAAGTAAGGTTAAAATGCATTTTTCTATATATAAAGGATTTCTCATTTTTTTAAATTTCCCATTTTTGTCCTTTGCTCATTTCTCTTGGATTGTTTCTGTTATTTAGCTTTTTATTGCAAAGTAAAATATAGATATCAAAAAAACCATATAAAAATAAATGTAAATTCCATAAATTATTATAAGGTGAACACCTTTATCACCATGTAGATCAAGAAATAAAACTTTGATAATCATCTCAAAAGTTTCTCATTTGGCCCATCCTAATCAAAGTTCTTTCTCCTGCCTTCTTCTCTCCCTCCAAAAGCATTGATATCCTGACTTTTATGGTGATCACTTTTTTAAATTAGTTTTCTTTTTTATGGTTGGTTATTGGACTTTTTTTTCATATTTGTAGGCATTCATTATACATTAAGAAAATTAGGTCTTTTTTCAATGTTTTTTTTTTTTTTTTTTTTTTTTTTTTTTTTTTTTTTTTTTTTTTTTTTTTTTTTTTTTTTTTTTTTTGGGACAGAGAGAGACAGAGCGCATGAACGGGGGAGGGGCAGAGAGAGAGGGAGACACAGAATCAGAAACAGGCTCCAGGCTCTGAGCCATCAGCCCAGAGCCCGACGCGGGGCTCGAACTCACGGACCGCGAGATCGTGACCTGGCTGAAGTCGGCCGCTTAACCGACTGCGCCACCCAGGAGCCCCAAGAAAATTAGGTCTTGAGTGCCATGTATGTTACAAATATTTCTTTAAATTTTGAGGTTTTACGTTTTAGCTTTTTTTGGGGGGTGAGATATTGAAGAACTTGGGTTTATTACTCAGTGCAGTGAGAGAATATACAGTGTGGTGTCTTAGTAAGGAGGTGTTAGATTATTTTTTAATTTTTTAATGATATCTTTGTACCTGCAGAATTTTAAAAAAATTTATGGAGATTTTATTTAGTTTTGTTAGAAATGCTTTCCCAATCCAAGCAAAGAAAATGTCTCCATGTTTTCTTTATGTTCTGCTTTATCATTTCTGTTTCTGGAATTTTTGAGGGATGTAGGGATCATGTAAAGATTGAGGTGTATATCTAGGCTTAACCCACCTTTTCCCTCCCCTCCACCCAAATACTCTGCAGTTAATTAAAAAAAAAAAATGAGGAAGTTCTATGAAGGACCAAATTATACCTGGGGAAAAAATGCAATATAGTTTATAAAATATGCTCCTATTTGGATTGTTCTTATATCCCCTTAATTTGCATTGCCACCTGTGTTCTATATCATAGGTCCATAAATGTGTGAATCCAGAAAGGCTTTTATGTGTTTATGTTCCACTGTTCAGTTTGCCTATCCATGTGCTAATTCCATGCTATAAAAATTAGTATAGTTTTTTAATAAGTTTAGTGTGTGGTAAGGCAAGTTTTCTCATCTTCTTCATGAGGGTCTTGGCTGTTTTTTGGCCCCTTGCCCTTCCATATAAAGTTTAGAATTTGCTTGTCAAGTGCCACAAAAATAGAAACTTTTAGAACTTTTTTTTTTTTAAGTTTATTTATTTATTTATTTATTTTGAGAGTGAGAGACAGAGAGAGAGGGAGAGAGAGAATCCCAAGCATGCACTGAGCTGTCAGCACAGATCCCAATGCAGGGCTCAAACTCATGAACCATGAAATCATGACCTGAGCCAAAATCAAGTTAGACACTTAACCAACTGAGCCCATCCAGGCATCCCAAATACTTTTAGAATTTTGATTAAGATTCAATAGATCAACTTAGGAGGAATTAACATCTTTACAGTATGGAGTCATTTAATTTCTGAACATGGTGTATCTCCCCAAGTTTCTTTAAAATCTCTCTTGATGAGACCTTGATTAAGTAGTATAAAACTTAAGTTTCTTATGAATAAAAGTGTTTTGGGGGAGTGGGCTGTTCTGGTTTGCATTTAGTGTTGTGGGGTAGACATCTTTATTCTTTTCTGGTCTGTCTACTTCCTTAAAATTGTCTCAACTTTGCATTTCATGCCATCAGAGTCTTCTACTACCTACCACTCCTTGCAGCGGTCATCTAGCAAGATTATATCATGCTCCTTCATTTCTTGAAGATTTTTAGCTTCTGGCTCACTGCAGCCCTCTGCAGCACTACTGTCATACTTCATGGTGATTTTAATATCCACATATGTCCTCCCTTTTTCTTGACCTCTTTTTCTTTAGTGATTATATTCTCTATCTTCTAGTAGTTACTCATTCCTGTGGTCATACGTCAAAGACTATAATTTTTTCACTTGGTCTTTGTACCTATGCTGCTACACTATAGAAGAAAATATATAACCATGTTCTAATTCCATTTTAAATTAATGACATATTCGCTAGTGGGTATTTAATGGTCTCAAGTGGACATTTAATCTCAAGTTATCCTACTATTTTATCCTCTCCTGTTCTCTTATATATCTATTTCATACATTTAAAAAAAATTTTTTAAATGTTTATGTGTTTATTTTATTTTATTTTATTTATTTTTTTTTCAATATATGAAGTTTATTGTCAAATTGGTTTCCATACAACACCCAGTGCTCATCCCAAAAGGCACCCTCCTCAATACCCATCACCCACCCTCCCCTCCCTCCCACCCCCCATCAACCCTCAGTTTGTTCTCAGTTTTTAAGAGTCTCTTATGCTTTGGCTCTCTTCCACTCTAACCTCTTTTTTTTTTTTCCTTCCCCTCCCCCATGGGTTTCTGTTAAGTTTCTCAGGATCCACATAAGAGTGAAGCCATATGGTATCTGTCTTTCTCTGTATGGCTTATTTCACTTAGCATCACACTCTCCAGTTCCATCCATGTTGCTACAAAGGGCCATATTTCATTCGTTCTCATTGCCACGTAGTACTCCATTGTGTATATAAACCACAATTTCTTTATCCATTCATCAGTTAATGGACATTTAGGCTCTTTCCATAATTTGGCTATTGTTGAGAGGGCTGCTATAAACATTGAATGTTTATGTATTTTTGAGAGAGAGAGAGACAGAGCAGCAGAGCTGAGTGAGGGGTAAGAGAGAGAGACATTGAATTCGAAGCAGTGTCTGGTGGCTGGGCTCTGACCAAAGCATGGTGAGTCTAATAGCTCAATCACGGTAAGGGCGAGAGAGATCATGACCAAGTCAAAGTCACGAATTTCAACCTAACTGAGCACCCAGGTGCTCGTCTATACTAGCATTTTCTATGATTTTTTTTTTTAATGTTTTATTTACTTTAAGACAGAGATAGAGACAGAGCATGAGTGGGGATGGGGCAGAGAGAGAGGGGACGGACACAGAATCTGAAGCTGGCTCCAGGCTTTGAGTTGTGAGCACAGAGCCTTGACACGGGGCTCCCCATCTTGAAGGTAGACCATGACCTGAGTCGGGTGGTTGGATGCTTAACCAACTGAGCCACCCAGGCGCCCCTCTTAATGTATTTCTTAAACCTCCTGTGCTTTTCCCCATTGTCATTGACAGCTGATGACCTTAGTTAACATTTCCCTGAGAAAAGAGAAGCAGTCCAAATAGAACTTCCATAAAATCCTATCAACACATCTACTCACCTGCTTGCAATCCTCCTACATTTCCATTAAAATGGATGAACTATGTATACTTCTATCTCTTTTCTTTAATGTTTATTTTTGAGAGAGAGAGGCAGAGAGAGAGGGAGACACAGAATCCAAAACGGGCTCCAGGCTCTAAGCTGTCAGCACAGAGTCCAATATGGGGCTCAAACCCACGAACTGTGATATCATGACCTGAGCCAAAGTCGGACGCTTAACTGACTGAGCCACCCAGGTGCCCCTATATAGACTTCTATCTTAAATCAGTCTCTCTACTTAGGTATTAAATTCCTTTCTTTTTCTCTTGCAACTCCTGCAGTATTTCCTTCTGTGTCATTTAAGTGCTCTGTTTTCTCCTGGCTTAAAAAAAAAGTCTTTCTTGACCCCATATCACCCTCCAGCTGTTTTCCTTTAGAGAAAAAAATTGTTGAAAATATTTTATATTACTAGGTATGTACAGTTCCTTGCCTTCTGTTCTCTCTTGAACACACTCCATTCATGCTTTTACTCTCACCATTCTACTGAAACTCCCTTATAAAGGCCTCCAGTTTTGTGTATTTATTCCATTGAAATTGTGATAAATTATCCTAAGACTTAGAGGTTTATTATGTTCAGCAGTTCTTTGCATCAAGAATTCAGACAGGATATAGTAGGACAACTTGTCAATTGCTCTGCAATGTCTATGCCCTTGTCTAGAAGTCTCAAAGTCTGAGGGCTGAATCATCAGAATGTTCATGTGCATGTCTAATTGTTGATGCTAGCTTTTGGCTGGGAACCTCAGTTCCTTTCTGTGGGCTTCACCATTAGTCTCTTCATTTGTGCCAGTTTGGGGTGCCTGGGTGGCTCAGTCAGTTAAGCGTCTGACTTCAACTCAGGTCATGAACTCCCAGTTTGTGAATTCGAGCCCCACTCTGTGCTCTCTGCTGTTGGGGGGAGCCCACTTCAGATCCTCTGTCTGTCTGTCTGTCTCTCTCTCTCTGCCCCTCCCCGTTCACACGTGCTCACTTGCTGTCAAAAACATTAAAAAGCAAACAAACAAACAAACAAACAAACAAACAAACAAACAAACATTTGTACCAGGCTTCTTCACAGCATGGTTGCTGGTTTATAAGGGTGAATGTTCTGAGACAGAGGTGTAAGTGTTATGGCCTTTTATGACTTAGTTTTGGAAGTCACTTCCATTATATTCTATTCGTAAAGGCAGTTAGAAAGTCCTACTCAGGTTCATGATGAGGATAAATAGTCTCTGCCTCTGGACAGGGAGTAATAACCTGGAATATGGCTGTGACTTTTTTTGGAAAATACAGTCCTCTATCCATATTACTAAGTAAATTGTCAGTTCTCTGTTTTTATCATACTTGACCTATCTCTGGTATTTGATACTTCATTACTCCTTTCTTTAATACTTTCGTACTTTGAATTTCAGGTTATCATACTCTTAATTTTCTTTTCACCTTATTATTGAGCGCTCCTTCTCAGACTCAGTGGTTCCTGTTTATTATTCTTTCCAGGTCTGGATCTCTTCTCATTTCTGTCTGTACACTCTTGCTTTTGTGATCTCACCTAGCCTTGTGGCTTTACATACCTTGTATGGTGATGACTCAAATTCTAGCTCAAAACTTTCCCTTGAACTCCATACATGTACATTCAGTTGCTTAATCAGCATCTGCACTAATAGACACCTTATATTTAGCAAGTACAAAATTGAATTTTTAATCATTACCTTCTCATATCTAGCTGCTTCTGTTTCTTCCACTGTCTTCACTATCTCAGTACCCAACTGGCAGCTCCATCTTTCCATTTGCTTACCTAAACTTTTTTAATAACAAAAGTTGCTTGGATCATTGCAATAGCTTTCTAACTGACTTTCCGGTTTCTGTCCTTACTGCCTGTTGTTAACCAGAGTTGTGCTGTTAAAATATAATTCAACTTATGTCATTTTCCATTGAAAACCCTTTAATCGTTTATCATCTCAGCTGAAGTCCTTAAAATAGCCTAGAAAGCCCACATAATCTAATTCCTAAATCTCTCAACCTCATCTTGTGTTCTCTGCCTTACTTTGCTCCAATCACACTAGCTGCTTTACTGCTCTAGGAACATGACCCTCATACTCCTGCCCCAGGGCCTTTGCACTTGCAATTCCCTGCCTGGAGCCTCTTCCTCTAAATATCCCCATGTCTCACTTTCTTATCTCCTTCATGTTTTTTGCTCAATCGTTAACTTCTCAATGACCTTAAATGACCACATTATGTGAAATTACATTACCCCTACCCAAGCATGTCCTATTTTATTCCCTGTCTTGCTTTCCTACATAAAATTATTTCCACTTATAAATTGATATATATATTATATATATTTCCACTTATATAACTGGTTTATTGTCTCTTTATTTTAACTAGAATATAAGTTCCATGGTAGGGAAGGATTTTTGCCCATTTTGTTCACTCTTACATGTTTAGTTCCTAGCTTACTATCTGGCAGGTGATAGGTGTTCAAGAAATTATTGTTAAATGAATAAATATTTTTACTTCAGTTTTTCTTATAAGGCTAAAAAAATCACAAGGCACATGTCAGTGAATCAGCAAGATCTAGACCCAGATAGTAGTACAGATATGGAAGATGTTACAAATGCTGAAGAAGAACTTATTAAGGAATGTGACGAAATGTGGAAAGACATGGAAGAAGTAAGTACCAAGAGGTCAAAGTGATATATATATTAATTACTATAAGATTTCTTTCCATTTCAATAATAGACTTAAGAAAAATAATTATGTTGGGTCCTGAAAGCTGTTATATTATACAGTAAAAATTTATATAGCTTTTAAACCTGTAAGCATTTATTCAAGAAACTTTATGCCAGGTGAGCTCTAGAAAGAGAAAAAATTATGGCAATCCCTGCCCTCAAGGAGATTGTCATATAATAGAGACCATTGCTTTTATGTTAGAAGTATTGTGGTGGAAATACAAAGACTACTTAAAACGAGTAGTAAACCTAGATAGAAAGGGTCAAGGATAGCTTTCTAAAGGCAGTAATAACTGAATTAATTTCTAAAGGACAAATAGAAATTAGCTTCTGAAAGTAGGAGAGGTATATAAAGCAGAAGGAACAAAATATGTAAGGTTGGAAGAGTTTAGAGAACTTTAGATAGGATATTATGGCTTCGTAAATTCGGAGGAGATTGACCTGTGGAGTGAGGCTGGAAATATAATTAGGAGCAAGAACATGAAGGATTTTGTTGAGTTTGTACTGTGGGGAGCAATTAAAGGATTATAAACATGAATCTTTGGGAAAAGATGCAGTTTGGGAAAATTGCTTGGTTGTTTTGAAGACAATGGAATATAGAAGATTGAGACTGCAGATAGAAGAAGCATTTAGGAGGCTCTAGTACGTACTAATCCTGATAAGAAGTACTGTAGGGCCATATCCTATCACTGCATATAGAAGGAGGACTTAGGAGATACTAAGGAGATAGGGCCAAAATGAGTGGAACTTAATTGTTGTGAAACGGAGGGAAATTATGAAGACTTTCAGGTTTCTGGTTTGGGCCACTAGGAGGTTGGTCAGGTTATTTCTTAAGATAGAGAGTAGAGAAGTGGTGAGGACACATAATTATGGAGTTTGGGTGAAAATATGAATTAATATAGAAAATGTTGTCTTTGAAATGTTGAGTTAGTGAGTATCACTTCTGGTACACTACTGTGTGTTGGTAAAAGTTTTTTCTACTCAAAATAGCATAATGTGTGAAACAGGCCGCAAACTTTTCTTATCCCATTCTTTGCAGTAAGATTTTAGATTAAGGCAGGTTATTATTTGTTTTTGTCCCCTTTTTTCTTTTTTAAAATTATTTTTTAATGTAAATCCTTGGTACTCTGATGATAGTGTATTTTCAAGATAATTGAATAATTCCTTTTTATGCTTTTGACATTTTTTCAGTATAGAAATTTGAATTTAAAAATAATTTTTTTAAAAGATACTGCAACTAGAAATAAGTACACAAGTAAAATTTAAATTACCCATATTTTCAATCATATAATCACTGTTAATAGTTGTAGATTTTTTTTGAATGGAACAAAAATGATGTCTCCTGAAGGCTTTATTTTCCTATGATCTTAACCATTTTCTTATCTCTTTTGTTGTTTTTCTATGGTGCTTTCCTTCCTGTTCTCTTATTTCCTATTTTCCCTTTACCTAGCTTCTAATTTACCCTAGCTATGTTTGTATTTTTTTGTCCTTATTTCTTATGCTCATTATTTCATTCTATACAGAATATAGAATATCTAATATCCCCTTTTACTTTTGATATATTGACCGTGAGACCTGTTTGGATGCCTTCATGATCCTCTTGCCTGTAAAGTCAGGAACTTGAGGTGCCTGGGTGACTCAGTTGGTTAAACCTCAGACTTGATATTGGCTTAGGTCATGATACTGCGATTGATCATGACGTTGAGCCCTGATCCTGCTTGGGATTCTCTCTCTTTCTCTGTCTCTGTCTCTGTCTCTCTCTCTCTCCCTCCTCTCTCTGGCTCATGCATACAATCTCTCTCAAATAAGTAAATAAACATTTTTTTTTAAGTGAGGAACTTAAACTCTTCTCTTAAATCAGATATTTGTATAATATTACATTGATATAAAAGAAAGGGAATTGTTTGTTATATATAAAAGGTTATAGTATGTGAATCATTTTTATTTACTTGCTTTGTTTTGTTGTTTTATTTACTTTTTCAATGAAGTGTCAGAAAAAATTATCACTTGTTGGAACTGAGACACTCACTGATTCAAATGCTCAGGTATGAATCCTTTTTTTTCTTCCTAAAAATAGTTAAGTTTAATGTATTGTGTTTTGGATAAGAATATTATTTGTCTATATTAACCCACATGTAATAGCTTTGTTGATACCCATATGCTTAATCATTTGGAAAATATTCTTTCTGATTTAAGAGTAGTATTCTAAATACTTTTTGAATGAACTATTATAAATATATTGTATTCACTATATATATTTACTCTAAATAAATATATTTAAATAAGGAATATTTTCTTTATTATTTATCTCTTAACAGTTACACATATATTTAACTGTTGAGTGAATAATTGCAATTAAGATACCTTATTAATAATTAGAACACATGTTGTCCTACTTTGTGTTAGGTACAGTAGCCAGTTTGTTTTCTTTTTTTTTTTTTTACTATATGTGTAGAACCTTAACTGACTTCACTGATGCTTAAACAAAGATTAAGATATCTATTTTAATAGAGCCCTAAAGAATTGGTTTAGGAATATACCAAAGGAAGAATGCAACAGATTAAGAATTTAAAATATGACAAAGATGATAGTGCCCATTTGTGGAAAAGGATGAATTGTTAATAAGTAATAGTGGTACAACTAGTTATCTGTTTGGAAGAAAATAAAATTGGAGCTTTGTCTTTCATTACATAAACATATATTCTAGATAGATTGCCATAGAAGTCTTATAAGAAAAGTTAGGAGACTATTTGTGCCGTCTAGGGACAGGAGAAACTTCTTGGCTAAAAGTAGAAACCAAGAAAGTATAAAAGAAAACTTAGATGTATTTGACATAAAAAATTAGAAGTTTTAGTGATAATTCTAAAGAACAAAGTCAAATATACAAATGATTCTAAAGAAAGTTTTCTAAAACTTGTAGGAGCATGTCAGAAAGTGTAAAAACTAATTGAAAGTACTCCTGAGTTCCAAATCATGCACTTTACTTTTTTTTTTTTTAATTTTTTTTTTTTCAACGTTTATTTATTTTTGGGACAGAGAGAGACAGAGCATGAACGGGGGAGGGGCAGAGAGAGAGGGAGACACAGAATCGGAAACCGGCTCCAGGCTCTGAGCCATCAGCCCAGAGCCCGACGCGGGGCTCGAACTCACGGACCGCGAGATCGTGACCTGGCTGAAGTCGGACGCTTAACCGACTGCGCCACCCAGGCGCCCCAATGCACTTTACTTTTAAAAACCAGTTCATTTTGTTACAAGGGCAGCAGGTGAGGAAGGTGAGTGTGTGTGTATGCGCGCGCGCACGTGCCTGCCACCAATAAGCTGCAGTTGGGGGTTCATGCACTTCATGGCCTATTAGAGCAGCAGACAATTGAAGTCAGAAGCAGAGCCGTTTCACAGAGTGAGATGTAATACAGAAGCTTTTTTGAGGGCCTTTTTCTTCCTACTTATTTTTCATTCAGATTATAATCAAGCTTACATGTGAACTATTAGTAATTTAAGTTTCCTTTTGTGTCATTCAGTGTAAAACTAATTTGAAAAAAATATAGATTATGAAAAATAAAGATTTAGGCACTGTTCACAAAAACACCAAATTTGATATCATTTGAAAAGGAATAATGGCCTTGATTGATTATAACAATAATAAAAATAAAAATCTATGAGCATAATAATACTGAATAAAAATGAGAGTAAGAGAGATAGAAAAAGAAGGAAAAACTAATGTGTCACTTTTGGAAGTGCCTATCATATCAGGTCAGGTCTTCCATGTAAAAATTTCTAATCAAGAATTAAGCCATCTTTTATTTAAAAAATTTTGCATTTATCAATAAATGCAGAGTTCTGTTATAAAGTATAAAACTGAATATTGTATTTGAAACAGCATTATACAGTAAATAAACTATCATCTGGTTTTCTTGGGAAACGTGGTTCTTATATCGTAGAAATTGAGACCTAGTGAATCAGAATCACTAGGGATTGGACCTGTAAGTTTCCTGAATGATTTTTTGTGCAGTGAACCAAACAAACACTGATTTTGGTGGAAGTGCTTATATAGTTGTAAAGAATCAGGATCCTGAGATAGTCAATAATAACATTATCTGAGGGATCCACAAAATATCTTCTATTGGGGCACCTGGGTGGTTCAGTTGGTTACACGTTCGACTCTTGATTTCGGCTCAGGCCATGATCTCACAATTCGTAAGCTTGAGCCCCGTGTTGGGTTCTGCACTGACAGCGTGGAGCCAGCTAGGGATTGTCTCTCCCTCTCTCTCTCTCAAAAATAAATAAATAAATAAATTTAAAAAATATATCTTCTCCTATTGTGTTGAGGGTTCCCCAGATTACTTTCAGGAGTAATTCACAGGACTCACAGTAACTCATAGGAGGACTCAGAAAACTTAGTGTGTACTATATTCATGGCTGAGATATACTATGTTAAAAGGATACAGAGTAAAATCAGCAAAGTGAAAAGGACCATGGGGTGAGGTCCAGAGGAAACCAGATACAAGCTTTCAGGAGTCCTCTTTTATTGGAGTCATCCAAGATATGCTTAATTCCCCCAAGGAGTTGTGACTGTGTGAAATGTTTTCTGCCATGGAACCTCATTAGACTCAGCGACCAAGGTGTTTTGTGAGAGCTAGTCACATAGACACCCTCTGCCTAGCAGTTATCAAAATACCAGGCTTCCAGAAGGAAAGCAGGTGTTCAGCTTCCGTCATATTCCTTACAAAAACAGTTTAGACACAATGAGTGTCTCTTAACAGGTTGGTGGGAATGATCTCAAAATACAAGTTCCAGATGCCAATCAAGAGCCAACTTTGAAAGCAAACCTTTAAATAATCTCAGGCTTGCTTTGTTTACTCTTATCTGCATACCTATTAATTTTATTTATTTATTTTATTTTTTTTTATTTATATATGAAATTTATTGTCAAATTGGTTTCCATACAACACCCAGTGCTCATCCCAAAAGGTGCCCTCCTCAATACCCATCACCCACCCTCTCCTCCCTCCCACCCCCCTGCATACCTATTAATTTTAAAGAGCATCTTTAAAGCAAATATATCTTTTTTAAAGTAAACCCTACTCCTACCATGGGGTTCAAACTCATGACCCCAAGATAAAAGTTGCATGCACTATGGATGGAGCCAGCTAGTGAATAATTGCAATTAAGATACCTTATTAATAATTAGAACACATGTTGTCCTACTTTGTGTTAGGTGCCCCTAAAGCAAGTTTGTCTAAAAATTATTGGGAAGAAATATCATCTTATGTTCTTAAAGATTTTATTTTTAAGTAATCTCTGTACCCAACATGGGGCTCAAATTCACAACCCCAGGGCCAAGAGTCCCATGCTCCACTGACTGAGCCAGACAGGTGCCCCTATATTTTTATAGTAGTATTTAGGAAATAAAAGTAATATGATTAGGTCCTTTTATTTTAGGTTGAGTGGTAAAGTAGAATTGAAAACTTCTTAAGACTTGAACTATAATTAGTATGGTTTAAAGCAGGATTGTGTTTGGAGTGTCAGTTTTTTATAATTTGGATGGCTCTTATGTTAGCCATTTATGTTAGGAATTTGTGTTAAAGTGTTAAGAATGTCTACACTTTCATGAATATCTATAAATATTCTGTAAGAAATGACTTTGTTTTATGATTTTTTTTTATAGCTGTCATTATTAATTATGCAAGTGAAATGTTTGACTGCTGAACTCAGTCAATGGCAGAAAGAAAATCCTGAAAGTAAGGTTCTTATTTTTAGGTTTATATTTTTTTAAACAAATTAATGGCAAATTAATTTAAGGATAATTTCAAGGTCTATCTGGCCTTGTTGAAATTGCCTAAACTTTTCTTTCATTTGTATACATTATTTTGTGCTTATTTTGGTATTATAGATGAATATATTTGTTTGATATAATAATCTTAAATTATGGAGACCTTATTATAACCATCATTTGATCATCATAGATACTATGCCACACGTGCAATAGAAACTGTAAATTTTTTCTTAATGAATGAAACATACCTAGTGGAAGAGAAAAGTTATTTTAGATACTTATTTATATAAGGGCCACATGGATTGTATGTTGCCTTGTGACCTGTCCAATGGGGACCAGCTATATATTTCCCTTTAGTCAAGAAATAGAAAATGGCTTAAATATCTGCAGTTAAAATACCCAGCGAGGAGATCTTTTTTTATTAGGAAAGCTTACTTTTCTCTGTGCCACATATATGTGTGTATTTGGTATTCTATATGGATTGTATCCTCTTTCTTTTAACATCTCCCTTCTTTCTCCTGCCCATTTGCCACCTTTCCTTTAGCTCCTCCCACTTCCCTTTTTAGTCTCCTTTGTAGGCTTACTGTTCTCTATCCCAGTTGTTGGGATTCTTCTATTCATTCTCTTTCGAGATAATTTCATCTACATTCTTGGTTTTAACTACTATATTCATGCCCACCACTGTTCCACATCTTTATTATCACATAGTAGTCTTTTTAATTTTAGCACTTGATATGTACATATATAATCTATTTTTTAATTTGCATTAAACTATATTCTGTTGCCTCCTCAGCATTATATTGAGCATCTCAAATGCTGTTCATACTCTGCTGTTAAAATTTGCTATTTTTTTGGAGGGCTGTGCTCAGCAATTTTAACTTCCTACTCTACATGCTACTCCAGGATTATATTTTCTGCTTTTGTTTTTATGTTATACCTGTATTAATGACTTCTGTATAAGTTTGCTAGAGCTGCCATAACAAAGTACTATGGACTGGGTTGCTTACACAAAAGAAATTAATTTTTTCACAATTCTGGAGTCTAGAAGTCCGAGATCAAGGTGTTGGCAAGGTTGGTTTCTTCAGAAGCCTCTCTTTTTGGCTTGTAGATGGTCATCTTCTCCCTGTGTCTTCACATGGTCGCCTGTCTGTATCCTAATCTCTTTCTATAAAGATGCCAGTCGTAATGGAATAGGGCTCACCCTAATGATCTCATTTTAACAGAATCACATTTTTAAAGACCCAGTTCCAAATACAGGCACATTTTAAGGTACTGAGGATTAGAACTTCAAAATATGAATTTTGGTGGGGAGGAGGAGGACACAATTTTCGTAACAGCTTCCAAATCTATGTATCCAAGCCAGACTTATTTGTAACATCACACTAACGTATCTCTCTACTTTCTAGTTATCTTTTCCAAAATATTCTATAGATACCTGAGATTTATGAATTGATCTCCATTCTCTGATCCATTGGATGGAATTTATTTGATCAGCTATAAACTTAAGAGTCCTTCTAGGTTCTTCTTTTTTCATGTATCACATATAGCCAATCATGAAATATTGAACCCTACTGCCACACATTTACTTTAGGCCTTCATTACCAATCCACTAGTTTATTATAATAGTCTTTCTTACGTCTTGTTCAAGATTTTTTTTTTAAATGTCTATTTATTTTTGAGAGAGAGAGTGTGAGCAGGTGAGGTGCAGAGAGAGAAGGAGACAGAGGATCGGAAGCAGGCTCCGTGCTGTGCTGCTTTGTAGTTTTGTAGTTTTCATCACAGTCTTTTGCCTCCTAGGTTAAATTTATTCCAAAGTATTTCATTCATTTTGATGCTATATATCAGGGAATTTTCTATTTTTGTTTTTCTTATCATCATCCCTTATGTGCACATTTTTTTTTTTAAACATTTTTTTTTCAACGTTTTTTTATTTATTTTTGGGACAGAGAGAGACAGAGCATGAACAGGGGAGGGGCAGAGAGAGAGGGAGACACAGAATCGGAAACAGGCTCCAGGCTCCGAGCCATCAGCCCAGAGCCTGACGCGGGGCTCGAACTCACGGACCGCGAGATCGTGACCTGGCTGACGTCGGACGCTTAACCGACTGCGCCACCCAGGCGCCCCATGTGCACATTTTGAACTGGTAACACCAAACACACAGGCTGATCCACAGGTCAAATAACCACTTTGCTTAAGGTTGCCAGTCCCATAGACTGCCCCACTGAAAGGATTTAAAATATCTTTATATTCTTAGAAGCTACTATATATTGTATGGGCTTAAATAATTATGTGAATCAATATTGAAATACTACTCATGGCCACAGTGGACAAGAGGGAGATTATTAACTTTATGCTCTTAAAATCCTTCTCATTGCATTTATTGAAATGATTTGGGAGCCATCCTGGGGCTGCCAGTAATCAGTTCTAATATATGTTCTATGAAGCACGTGTTGTAAGCTCTTTCCTGTCAGAAGACCCTGTAGAATAGTAGATAGATTAGAAAGTTTTCAGTAGCATATTATTAGAGAAATTTTAAATAGTACTTTATTAGGAAAGGTAAACTTAAAGTACAAAGGTTGAACTTTTCTAAATATAAGGATTAAATTTTGCTATACAAAATTAAAATGAAATGTTAGTTGATACTCATGAACTGGCAAAAATTGTAGAAGAGTTTATTGTATCTTTTGCTGTTTCTTATTGCTAATAGTAAGTTTTTAGAAAAGAATCTGGTATTCTATATTAAAATTCAAAATATGCTTTTCCTTCTATGGAATTCCATTTCTGAGAATTTATCCTCCCCAAATGAAAGCACTAGTACATAAAGACATAAATTTAGAAATGCTACAGTCATTGTTTTTTGTGGCTAAAAGTTAGGTTCAAAGATAATGTTTCATCAGTACTGATATTACTCAATACACTTTGTATATTCACCCTGTGGAATATTATGGAGTGATTAAAAATTATGGATTAGACTTATATCAGGATAGAAACGATTTCCATGGGGTTTTTGTTGAGTAAAAATAAGAATAATGTGTATGATATCCCCTTCTCATAAAACCAACAATAACAAAATGAATAACCCTTGCATGTGTGTGTGTAGATAATATACATGTACATATACGTGCATAGGATCATATAATTACAGAGAAATATATTTAGGGAAACGGTATAGATTATTAATTTTTTTAAGTTTATTTTGAGAGAGAGAGAGAGAGTGAGCCTGAGTGAGGGAGGGGCAGAGAGAGAGCGAGGGGGAGAGAAAATCCCAAGTAGGCTTTGTGCTTTCAGTGCATAGCCTGACACGGGGCATGATCTCAAGAAGCATGAGATCATGACCTGAGCTTAAGTCAAGAGTTGGACGCTTAACCAATTTTGTTTTTAAGGATTTAGAAAACAAAACCCAAAAATGTATAAATGTCATGTTTGTCTAAAATTATATATTGGTTATATATATTGTCTAAAATTATGTATTGATTATATATGTAAAGGTATTAATTAAGGAAAGAGAAAGAGATATCTTAGAAGCCACAAAATCAAATTCTTTATATTTGAGAGTTAACTCACCATATATATAGTTTTGGCCTGTTTTTTTTCTGCAGTAGTTCCTCTGAATGAAGAAGTTCTAGTAACATTAGGACAAGAAGAGGTAAGTAACTTAAGGAATTGGTAGTAACCCTAATTAACTTATAAGTATTTGGGGTAAGTTCATGACATCAGAAGCAGAATGAAACCACTTTAAAGCCATATTAATTTCTTTATTTTGATTTTAATTATGTCTGTTGAACAGAATATTTGAAATAATTTGAATTTTGTATCACCAATTTGTATATTAGAACTGTGTTTAAAATTAGTGTTTAATATGTAAACTTCATGGTTGTGCTTAATTTTCACTTGATTAAACTCTTCATAATGAAAGCGAAAACATTAAACATAGTTAGATGATCCTAATACATGTATGTCCTCAAAACATAATATACATGCCAATAAAGACTTTAAGTGTAAGTCCATTAAGTCAAAGTATAGGAAAGAAGATAGAAGCAAACAAGAATTTTAAGTAAGGATGTAGTGTATGGAAAGAAATAAGTATCAGTGTGTCTAGAGATAGAAATAGTGATGAAAAAAGAGATTATCTGTAAATAAACATTTTAAAAAAAATTTAAAAAGGGGCACCTGGATGGCTTAGTCAGTTGAGTGGCTGACTTCGGCTCAGGTCATGATCTCACGGCTTGTGAGTTCGAGCCCCGCGTCAGGCTCTGTGCTGACAGCTTGGAGCCTGGAGCCTGCTTTGGATTCCTTATCTTCCTCTCTCTCTCTCTGCCCCTCCCCTACCCATGCTCTGTCTCTCTCTGTCTCTCAAAAATAAATAAACATTAAAAAAAAAAAAAATTAAAGAGATTATCTGCCCTACAGAATTGAGAAAAACCAGGTTTTGAAGGAACCTGGTACTGCAGTATTCAGGGTTCAAGTATGTAGCTAGAAACAAGATTTCTTTAAAAGAGAGATAAAGAATTTTTTTGATTAAAAAAATAACAGAATGTAACTTAAAAAAGGATTACTTCACACCCCTAAACATGGCTATAATCAAAAGACAGGCAATAACAAGTATCGGTGAAGATGTGGAGAAATTGGAACACTGATGAACTGCTGGTGGGAATGTAAAATGCTACATCCACTTTGGAAAGCAGCCTGGTAGTTCCTCAGAAGGTGAAAGTTACTAGTCAAACCAGTACTTTCACTCCGAGGTATACACCTAAGAAAAAGGAAAATAAGTTTGTGTCCACACAAAAACTTAAACATGAATGTTCATAGCAACATTTTTCTTTCTTTTTTATTTTTAATTTTTTAATGTTACTTATTTTTGAGAGAGGGACAGAATGTGAGTGGGGGAAGAGCAGAGAGAGAGGGAAACACAGAATTCGAAGCAGGCTCCAGGCTTGAGCTATCAGCACAGAGCCCGATGTGGGACTCAAACCCATGAACCATGAAGTCATGACCTGAGCTCAAGTTGGACGCTTAACCGACTGAGCCACCCATGTGCCCCCATAGCAACATTTTTCTTAATGGCCAAAAAGAGGAAATAACCCAAATGTTCATCAACTGATGAATAGATAAATAAATTGTGATATCTGTACAATGACATATTTTTTGTCTAATAAGAACTGAAGTACTGATATGCCATAATATAGGTATATCTTGAAAAACATTATGCTAAATGAAAGAAGCTAGTTACAAAGGATTACATATTATATGATTCCATTTATATGAAATGTCCATAATAGGCAAATCCATAGAGACAGAAAGTAGGTTGTTGCTTATTGATTAAGGCTAGGTGATTGTAGAGCAAATAGTGAGTGACTGCTAATATGTACTGCTAACAGGTTTCCTTTTGGGATGATGAAAATGTTCTAAAGTAGATTGTGGTGATGGTTACACAACTTTATGAAAATACTAAACATTATTGAATTATATACTTTAAATTAGTAAACTGTATGGTATGTGAATTATATCTCAAGCTTTATCTATCTATCTATCTATCTATCTATCTATCTATCTATCTATCTATCTACTTATGAGACAGAGACAGAGTCTGAGCAGGTAAGGGACAGAGGGAGAGTGAGATAACAGAATCTGAAGCAGCTGTCAGCAAAGAGCTGGACTTGGGGCTTGAACTAACAAACCATGAGATAATGACTTGAGCTGAAGTTGGATGCTTAACCAACTGAGCTACCCAGGTACCCCGGTGAAGCTGTTTTTAAAAAGACCAATCAGGGCTGCCTGGGTGGCTCAGTAGGTTAAGCGACTGACTACATCTCCAGTCATGATCTTGCTGTCTGTGAGTTTGAGCCCCATGTTGGGCTCTGTGCTGACAGCTCAGAGCCTGAAGCCTGCTTCAGATTCTGTGTCTCCCTCTCTCTTTGCCCCTCTCCTGCTCACACTCTCTTTCTCTCAAAAATAAATAAACATTTAAAAAAATTAAAAATAAATGAATAAATAATAAAATGACCAATCAGAGAGGTGCCTAGCTGGCTCAGTTGGCGTAGGTCATGATCTCATAGCTCGTGGTCTGAGCCCTCCTCGGACTCTCTGCTGTCAGCACGGAGCCTGTTTCAGATCCTCTGTCCCCCCCTCTCTCTCTTTCTTTGCCTCTCCCTCGTGGATGCTCTTTCTTTCAAAAATAAATAAACATTGGGGCGCCTGGCTGGCTTCGTCAGTTAAGCGTCTGACTTCGGCTCAGGTCATGATCTCATGGT